GGCAACTCACCTCGTAAGACTCCAGATCTTTACTGATATCAAACGAGAGCACTTGACTGACCAACCACTCGACGTTTTGTTCAGCAAAAGGCGCCAGTGAAGTCTTCATCACTTCCACAGCACCCTCTAAACCATCACTCTCCAATAACTCTACCTGACAAGACCCGAGCAGCAACAGGATCACCTGGTGGAAGCCACAAATGTTGGTCAGTCTGAGAACGCGATTTGCGGTTTATAGAACTACGTTTCGGGCTCATGACTCCTATTATGAAAAGGTATATACTGGTTGGGCGGGGTAGTGATCTCAAATCCCATAAATTTTATAAGGAAAAAGAAGTCTAGACATCTTAAGTGATTAGATGACACCTGCGTGACCGAATGAACTCTGAGCGGATCTGTCAAGATCTGAGAGCTTTTTAGTATGCTTTGTGACTACTTATAATATTAGCTTTAATACTCTAAGCGTGAGTTAAAGAGGTTGTGTAATCAGTTGTGATCAGGGAGAACAATAAAGACAGGTTTTGAAGGTCTGCATGCGTCTGTCGGATCCCTCGAGCTAATCATGAAAAAAGTAACTTTCACTGAAAACTCACTCCGAACTCAAAATTAAACGCCTACAGATGGATGGGAGGCTGTAGTAAGTTACTTAAATACTGTGGTAGGATCTCAGTCGAACGAAAGCACAGGCGCTTAGACAAGCTCACCTTGAATACCACCTCCATGCCTTGAAGAAACATCATATCTAAAAATTAACAAAAGCAACAACTTACAAAAAACACGTTGATAAAAAGTAGTTTCTTTCTTCTAAAGGATGGAAAATTTGAATCGACTGAAGAAAACTCTGTATGGCGACACTAACTCAAGACAACAAAGGATTTCTTACGGACATCAAAATGGAATTCAAGGTATATTGGGAAAAATGGTCTAAGTTGACATCGCATCTTACTTTAAACCTCGCTTTTTAAGTAACTTTTACGACGGGATTTTGAATTTCTTCCACAAAAATCCCTCGAGGGAAAATCTAACAATAACCTTCATCGATTAGTTTGTAAAGACCACAACTCACCCAGCACTCGTGCCACAAAGCCTACTGGGAAGTGAGATGCGAAGAGTGTAAGGAACCACGGGGCTGCGTAAAGAGTAGGCGTGATTTCCAGCTCCAGTAGAAACTCGTACACAGGTTTGTAGTAATCGTGTAGGAGGCGTGACAACATGTAAAATTGAGTCTGAAAGAAAGAGTGGAAAAAACGTGTTGGGCTGAAGAAACAATAACAAATACACGCTGTTCTTCGGGTGAGCGGCGTTCCATAATCTAGCATTGTCTCAGAATGGTTTTATAATCGTGAAAAAGGTTACGGTTATACGTCGCAGTAAATACACTTAAATGAAGTATAATCGTCCGTTTCACGAGGAAGTAACTTCCAGTGTGAAAAACAGAATGCATCAATCACAGCTGTTGAACATCAGCCAATTATAGCTGAGCACAATGGTTCATAAAGTGGTTCGTATCCAGTTCATCTTATCTCCTCATGAAGACTCACAGTGTGTAGTCGAGACGTCGCGAACCACATCCGAAGAGATTTCATCGCGAGACAGATGAAAACACTTAACAACAGGTCGTTTTGTTATTTCATAAAAACACATCTTTGATGGATGACAGCTTCCACACATTTCGTTTGCTTCCTTCGAAATGGTTGGGATTAGTTTCTAACACATAAGGTTACCATGAAAATAACTGCCCCTTAAAACACTCTTAATTCTAACTTTGTGTCTGTAAGTTCACGAATTCACGAGCTCACAGACCCCGGTGTAACTGAAATACACTGAGAAAATAAAGATTTATCGTCCCACTAAATTTCACAAAAATTAGTTCCCACGGTTCAGAGCCTGCTTAAGTTATCAAATAAAAGATGGCTCTAAACTTAACGTACATAAGTGAAACTTTGCAGAAGAGGAATCTTAACCAGCTGCTGATGATGATAATAATAATAATAATAATAATAATAATAATAATAATAAAAATAAAAGATTGGCAATAAACCAAGTCGACTTATAATACAAACGCAAAAATAAGATCAGACAGCAATGCAAGTCAGTTTGTAAAACAGTCCAGCTGCGTGAATTTACCTGTAAATCTTGCATGTCAGGTTTGTATTGCTTACGGACACCAAGTGTGTACATCATGAATCGAAGTATGTCGTAAGCATCCTCCTCTTTCATATGCATCAGCAGAATGCCAGCCACAAAACTGAGTCCCTGACAGTAGCCGACTTCTTCGTCTAAAATGGAATACGCCTTCAGGATGTTGAACAAACACAACTGGCCATGCCCCAACGGAGGAGCAAAGTATGGATGATTGGGAAATGTGCGACCTGTGAAGGAAAATAAGGCAAAGTCAAAGAAGAATATAACAAGGCCTTCAGCTCGCTCAGCTCCTCTCCGCCCAAAAAGAGTGGCAATGGATCAGTAGTTATACAGCATACTTACCTAGGTCAATGAAGATGGAGTGCTGGTGACACGTAGAGCCTTCCTTGATGTCATGGTAAGTTTTCTCCATCCATTGCTGTTCCTTTTCCGGTGGTGAATGCAAGTCGTGCTGCTTGGCAAGAAACACCCATATCTCGCCTCTTTTGGCTTTGGGTACACCTTTGTATACGAAATTATTACATAAGAAATACATCTCTGACAATGGAGTAAGTTTATTAAGAAACTGTGGTGCTACGTCGGTGGAAGTATAACAGGGTAATAAAATGTTATCAACTGAGTTGAAAACGTAAATCGGCCACCGTAAAGATCGAGTTTAAAGGCTGATGTTTCGAGCGTTAGACTTTAAACTCTTTAAGGTGGCCAATTTACCTTGTCAACTCTGTTGATAACACTAAATTACCCTGTTATATCTCTGATAACTGATTTAAGTGGAAATTATCCTTCATTGTAGGAGGGTCTCGTGTGGAATTTTACTTTATCTTAAATGTGGGTGTGACTGAAGTGAGATTTGTACCTTTCAGATTTAGATTCAAAATAGACAGTCCACAGTCCGCACTTAACGCGCATTGAAAGGCCTTAGAGTCTACCTACCAGCTTTGACAGCTTCTGTCAGAGTCTTCAAGTCAACTGTTTCATCTCCATTCTCAAGAATTTTGTTCCAAGTTGCAGCTGCTGCATCAGAACACGGTGGAACTTCATTGTAGGAAAGCTTCAGCATATTGGCTTCTATGACATTCTGATTAACTGGAAGGAAAAAAAACAGTTACAAGTTTCAAATACTGTGTAAGAGAGATGATTTCAAACCGAAAATTATCAAACCGCTTATAATCCTGATTCTAAAAGGCGCTAGATTAACAACAATGGGAAATGGTCTCTGCGTTGTGTAAATTCAAAAAGTTGTCAACAATTGCGAAGAAAAACATGGATGTAAAAAAATAGAGAGAATCAAATTGAAATGCAATTCAAAATTTGCCGTCCAAATTTTGAGGAAAGAGCTTCACGACAACTATAGGACTGTATCAACAGGGACACCAGTAGGGCGCAGGAGACAGAATGTACCTAAGAGAACGTTTACAAGGACAGCTGAGGAAAGAAAGGGCTAAAAAGAAGAGCTGATTGGAGTACAATGTCGACTCTGAAAGAGCTTGTAGGCAGAAGAAGGTACGGAAGAGGCTTTATACACTACTTGGCAGGAAATAAATACACGTAAATAAAGCTGGGTGAAACAATTAAGTTGCCTGAAAACAAGACTATCAACTAAAATATTACCGGAGCTCGCAGAGCGTAGCCCCATAATTATACAAAATAGAAGTAACCTATCGAGCCGAAAAAATTTGGATATACGACCGTACGACCTTACAAGGTGCTACTTTTAACATGCGTGGTCAACTGCACCGCGGGCATACCAACA